GGAATATATACTCTGTATACATATGTAGAATTGACTGGTAAATTGACGGCTAATTCTATCACGTTTTTTCTCCGAAAAAAGAGAAAATTCTTAATATTTTTTAATATTTTCTTGCTTATCGTTAGATCAAGTCTTCAATTATTAATCTACGGCCAATTCTTATGTTATTTATAATTATGCTTCTCTTAAGAGGGCAAGATTCTTAGAAAAAAATTTGTAAACTTTGGAAAAAATCTGTAGCTCTATAACGATTTTTTACAAATTAGCACAGGAACATTTGTATCAAGTTTAAAGGAGATCAACGAGATGGTTGCGTAATAATGCAATTATTACTCTCTGCCGAGTTTGATAACTCTGCTTGCTACGGTTGAAATTTGAATACTGAAATATATTTTTTATCCTGTTGACATTCTGTTGATTATTGCTTCCTCATAGAGGAAGCTTCGTTTTCATGACAAATTTTTTTATGCCAATGTGTTCAGAATATTTCAAAACGTCGAAAAATCACATTTTTTAAAAATGTCCGTATATATGTATATGTGTGTGTGTACGGATTGATCGAAAATTCAAACGTCTATAACTCAAGAACTGCTTGAATTACAGTGCTGCAATTTAGCACAAAATAGTATATCATTTTTATTTATTCTTATTTTTATAAAAATTCATATAAAGTTTTAGATTTTAAGGCAGTTCCAATTTTTCAAAAAAAAATGTGCACGCTCTAACTTCCGCAAATTTCGAAATATCGGGCTAAATTTTTTAACATGAATTGAATATCATTAAATGATGGTTGATATTGAATTGGTGAAAGAGTTTATTTTTTTATGAAATTTTGTATTTTAATTTTAAATTTTTTTTAAATGTAAGTTTTTGTATACCAATATCGGATCGAAATTGCGCCGATAATACTTTATCTTTTTATTTCGCTCACAAAGTTTCCTCTTTAAGGAGGCCAAAATTGAAAAACTCGCTTGCTCTGAGGAGCTTTGTGAGCGAAATAAAATGATGAGGAAGTAATGTGCAAGTTTCTAATTTTTTTTATTTGGCGCGTTTGTCATTATCATCGATTATCCAATTGGCGCCAGAGGTAAACATACGATTGTACTTATAGCGTGAACAGCAAAAACCTTTACGCGCCGGCCGAGAACGGAATGCGTAGATTTTGTTCGGATGTGAAAGTGCGAGCTCCACAAGAGAAAGAAAAGAAGGCACGCGACCCGCAGACATTCGGAAATGTGTATACGCGCACAGGAAGATAAAAAGATACATATTTATTATATTTACCATTTCTCTCAAACACATAAAATTTTATGCGTTTTTGATAAGTCCCTGCGTGAAAGTACAATAACTGGTCGCGGATAATTTTTTGTTATTTTTTTTTTTTTGTAGGAAACCGACGGTGTATTTCTCTCTTATTTTCTTTTATGGACATATAATTGTAACGTAAGAAATTTTTATCTCAATAATCACGTAATGTACGACGATACACAATGAAATCAACTTCTATCATGATATTTATTATTTATTTATTTATTATTTATTTATTTATATGGTGTACAATCAATTTCAAAGTATATAATCAGCTTTTATCGTGATATTATATTAAATAAAACGTGCAATCACTTGTGGCTTATATGCAAAAAAACATATGTTCGAAAGGCGCCACGTATCGTTACGCGATCAAAGATGCGTCTTCCTTTTCCTGCGTCCATATCTGGCGCGTAACTCCGGTAAGGGTCCGATGTCCGATGTCGACAAGGAGGACCATTCCTCGCGATTCCGCGAAACGGAAGGGAAATTCGCTGCACGCGGACGCGAATTGACTTGAACGATAAATTAGACCGCGACGTCAACGCTGCGCGGAATAGAAAGTTGCCCCAACATTGTACAATATGAGAAGCATCGGGTAAAGAGAGATGGAAAATACGCTTAAACCTAATACAAGAATAAAATAGAGAAAATATTTATCTTTTACTTTTGGAATAAAAAATAATTGATTGAGTTAAAGATCTAAATAAAAAAAAATTAAATATTTTTTAAAGTAATAAGTATAAAGGTTTTTTTGTGAAAAAACAACAAACCTCGCTTTCTTTCTAAATTTTTTTTAAATATTTGTATTTCTTTCATATTATGTACTTTTAACATTTTTACTATCGTTAAAGAGTGCCGAAATTTCTTACATCCATTCATTCGTAATTCACGAATATAAACATTTTATAAATTAAGAAACTAATACCTTTATCTTTTATTTTACTTTTTTAAAAACAATTTTAATGAATTAATAAGATTTTTGTGGTTAAAATGATACCAAACACGATATGATTCAAATACTTTCAATTATAGATGCATAACAAAAATTTTTATTATACATCTAATTGAAAATTATTTAAATTATGTTGTTTTTTAGTATTATTTTAACCACAAAAATCTTATTAAAATAGTAATCCCATTAAAATTGTTTTCAAAATTGTAATCCCATTAAAATTGTTTTCATAAAATAAAAAAATAAAAGGATTAGTTTTCAGTTTATAAAATGTTTACAATTATGTATTACATTAATTTGCCACAAAAGTCTCATTAATCCATATTAAAACTACTTTTTAAAAAAGATAAGTTAAAGACATAAGAATTTTAGTTTTTTTATTATACATATTAACAAATAAATATGATGAAAAATAATATTATATTTAAAAAATAATGAAAAGAAAATCTTTTTTCTTTCAATAAAAAAAACACATTTTTCCAACGTTTTTTTTCTATTAAAAGAAAATTAACAGTTTTTTTACATCTCTAGATTGAACACATGCGGCGTACGTTTACAGATTTTTCTAAAAATCTTAGCCTCTTAAGAAAGATATAATTGTAATATAAAAATTGACAGTAGATTATTAATTGAAGACTTGATTTAAGCAAGAAAATACTGAAGAATATTAAAAATTTCTTGGTTTTTTTTTCGAGAAAAAAAAAGTGATTATAGAATTTGCAGTTAGTCTACCAGTCAATTCTCTAAGAATAATCATTTGGTATTTTCGTGCAATCTCTTCAAGATCTCGGTTCTGTGTAAAGCGAACTCCAATAGGTAGCGAAAAAGAGAGAGTCGCAAAGGAATGAGAATGGGGGGAAAGGAGATATGTCATGTGAAAACGTCGCATCCCCACTCGACACAGTCCCACTACGACATTATATCGCGCTGTGTTTTTTGCTTCGAGTTAATGACTCAACTGCCACTGTCGTTGATTAACAATAATTCGCTTGTCTCTTGGCGCGCGGATATAACAATTCGACATGGCGCGCTAATTGCCACGACGCGGGCTTTCATCGAGATTAGGACATCACACACCACTCTCACTGGGAACTCGTCCTGCCTCATATTCTGCGATGGAGGACAACCGCGGGAGAAATTCCATGCGAATTGTCCTCGTCGTCGTAGTCTCCCTCGATCGCATGTACAATACAAGATTCTTACCGTCAAAATGCTGGCTCACAGGGAGAATTCTCAATTCAAAAATGAAAAATATTAGGAAACTTTGGAAATATACATAGGGGAAAGTAGGGTAAAACCGGGTACCTTTTTGGATTTGTCTTCCTACAAAAAATCTGAGAGTAAAAAGAATTTTGCCGGCCGTTAGTAGTCTTTAGTGAACCTTAAACTTTGAGAAAATAAGACTAGTTGTTGAAAAAAAAATTTTTGGTTACCAAAAATAACAAGATTTTGTGAAGAAGTCAAAGTACCCGGTTTTGTCCTACCGGTGGGATAAAACCAGGTACCTATTTGAAAATATGCAAAACACCGTGTAATTACAAAATCTAGATTTATTTTATTTAAAATACAACATAAAGATGTATTCTATTGACAAAAATCACAAATAAAGATATCCTCTTGTTCGACATTGCTGCAGGACTTCCTTATTTAACTTTTTAACTTTAGGGGTCTCAAAAAACTTTTTTTTTTAGTAGTTTCTTTTTCTGAGTGGTAGTTTTTGTTTCCAACTGCTTTTTGTAGGGAGACAAAGTCAGGATAACAGTGCTTCCTCTTTTCATTACATGAGATATGTAAGTACCCGGTTTTGCCCCAACACAAGGAAAGTAACAAATACGGCGGTTATATATTCCGGCGTTCAAAGTGCCGATCAAAACTAATATGATATACTCTCTAATATGTACAGAATGCAATGCTGCATTTACCGATACAGATGCTCTATATAGAAAAAGTGCACGACGACTCGATTCTTGTCTCGACATCAATCTTTTTGGGGATAAAAACTTTGAACTTTTATTAAAAAAGAAATATCGTGTGCACAGGGGCAGAGTTTGTTTTAAAATAATGATAGCGCCAATCTACAACTAATAACACAAGTTAGCCATAGATAGTAGCATTTATTACAAAAAAACAGGGGTACCCGATTTGACCCGCCTATCCGGTTTTACCCAACTTTCCCCTATATATTATAGAGTATCTTGATACGCTCAATTTTTGTTTGTTATTCAAGTTCATTCTAAGAATTGACTTCGAAATCAATCTGTAAGAACTGGGCTATTTATCATTTTTTATTTTTTGCAAATCAAAAGAGACGAATAGAACCATTTTATAGAGAAAAAATTACTTCTTTCGACAAATTTAATTTCTTAATTTTTTGAATTTGCCAGTACTAAAAAAAAATTATTAACTTGACTAAATCCAACTAATTATCATTTTTTAAATTGAAATATTTAAGTATTTAAGTCAAATACGATATATTAAATCTAACATGACGTATATTTAAATATTTAAATACTTAAATATTTCAATTTAAAAAATGGTAATTAGTTGAACGAGGATTTAGTCAAGTTAATAACTTTTTTTTCTTAGTGTAGGAGATTTTCTTCCTCTCTTCTTAAATATTTTAATGGCACAACGATACTTTTACTTAACCAACCAGCACGAAATTGTGCAAGACATAATTACTACGTAATTAATCATTGATTGAATAATGTGGACGGCTTTTGTTCTTCCCCCGCAGAGATGCGAAGCGAGGTGGGCGAATGGCTAGCCACGTGCGTAGGTTCACCGATATGCATTCTGCTGTTGTCATGGTCTCTATTGATCTACCAGAATCAATCATCATCCGCGAAAAGAAGAATCGACGTGTTGACAGTCGCGATCCTCTCTCAAAGTCTCGCGCATCAATTAGGATTGCTGCTGTATGCGATTCTCACCTTAATTCGTCCAGCAAATCACTTTGGAGGTAACTATAATTATATTTTGCTTTTTTAACAGGATTTACACAAATCTTGTAAAAAAATTCCCTAAAAAGTTCTTGATCTTCCGGTTTTTTTTTTGTTCAAAATTCCAGGTAGTTAAAAAGAATCTTTTTAGAGATTTTTTAAAGTATTTTCAAGTATTACATTTGTAAATATACTGAAAAAAACTGAATAACATTCGTAAGATAAACATTTTTTACTTGCATAAAATTTTCATTTTCTTATCATTGAAAAATTACTATAATAAAGAATATGTACTGTGTTTCAATATTTTATTAAGACTGAATATATAAATTATATAAAGATATATATTTATAACATATTTTAAACACATAATTAACTTAGCCTACTTCTTGTTTCAATATAAGAGTAAAATTATCAAAAAAGAATTTTTCAAAAAATTTTCCGAATCCCAATAAAATTTCATGAGAACTCTCTGAATTTTCTAGATACAAAGAATTCCTGAGAATTCTAGGTTTTGCATGTTGTTCCAAGGAGTAGATATTCTGTTTACCAATTTCAGTATAATGCGGAAGATATCATCGCGATTATATGTCACGAAAATTAATTTAGCAAAACAGATTGACCTGCCCGACAAAGATTCACGATCGAACTACGTAACTCATCGATTCTTCTTCGAAGATATCATCGCGATTATATGTCACGAAAATTAATTTAGCAAAACAGATTCACGATCGAACTACGTAACTCATCGATTCTTCTTCATGTTGTCGCAGAATTATGCTCGACATTGGTATGGGTGCTAAACTCGTCGAGCATCCTCCAGGAGTTAACTCTGACGTCGATCGCCGTGTTCGCGGCAATCAGCAGCCGCGACAACGCTATCAATCTCACCAAGAATCATCTCAAGTACCATCTCGTCAGCCTGAGCGTCATCAGCGCCTGTATCGGCGTCACCGGTGTCCTCAACTTCGAGCCGGAAATTTGTGTCTTTCTAGCCCACGAGATTTCCTATAAATATGGGATCTTTGTCAATTCGTTGAGGGGTCTGCTGGCCCTCACGTCTCTCCTCGCCGTGCTAATCGCGCTCTTCAGGAACGTCTGCCGATCGCCAACCTCCGAACTGCTCAAATCGGTTTCGGACCTGTCGGAGGCGAGCTCGAAGAACTCTTCGGGCGCGTTTGACTGTCATCCGCAGCACTGGGATCCCTCGAGCGGATCGTGCACCAGTGGCTCCACCAACAGCAGGGCATGCTTAAGGAAGAAGAGGGTGCAGGTAGACGAGGCGAGCGGCAGATCCACCGTCTACAGCATACTTTTTGTCTGCTACATCTTCGAGCACTTACCCATCCTGGTAATTATTTTATCAATTGTTTTGATTTATTATTACTTTTTTTTCGTTATTTTCTCTGTGAATTCATTCAATGGATTCGATAGCACAATCGTGACATCACATCAGTAGCGCGTAAAATCAGTTTCCGCACTACTGGATCTGCGATGAATTAAAATGATTGCACGCTACTAACATAAAGCTCATATTTGTGCACGCTATTACTCGAGTACTTCCCAAGAAAAGCGAAAAATTTAATTATTATATAAAGTGCTCCAAATTATTTTTCTCATTCTTCTTTTTTTTCGGTAAATCCTTTAATAATATATAACTTATGAAGATTTTGAAGATTATATTGGATTAAAAAAATATTTTATTATAGTGTTTTGAAAACCTCTCGAGATAAGCTACAAGAATATGCAATAAAAAATGGGGGTTTCCATTTAAGAAAACATCGACAAATCAATCAGTATAAAAAAAATAATTGTTTTTAACAAAAAGTATGTAATTATTTACAATGTATTTTTTAAAACAATTATTTGTTTTTTTTATACTAATTGATTTGTCTCATTATTCTGTACATAAAAGTATTACGGTAAGATTATCGAAAACTAAATATTTTACGAGATATTTTAATTTTTATATCAAAATATGT